CAACGGAGAACGTGTCCAAACCGCTTCAGTCGTCTTTCTTGAATAGCCTGAAAGAACCTTGTGATGCTGTCGCAGCGAATGCCGACTGTCTCATTTGGTTTGTTGTGACTAGCTCGCGTCGAAGTGAACGTTCCCGAACACTCAGAGACGCTAGTCTCGATGCCTGGATCTGCCAATCACAGTTGCCGCAAAGATGTCTTTTGGGCCGGTGACGAATAACAAGCCTGCACGCGTGAATTGCTCTCTCTGCCAAATGGCCTGACTGCTGCCAAGCGGCACTTGGGCCCGGCTGGCTCACCTGGCTGGTCGTGTTCTCCCAAGTCAGAATGCTTCCATCTATTCTGCGTTCCTCTGCGTACACAATATACTGCTCCTACTAATCTGGCCTTTCTAAGACTTCTTCTCTTTTAAGTAACTATGGTCTGAAGATCGCAGTTGCTAGGGTTTAACTTACTTAATCCCCTGCGATAGGTTCGCGAGCAGTGACCATTATATACCCCCAGTTTTCGTTCATCTTCAACACGCGCAGACCAGCATCCCAGACCACAGAGAAAGCAGACCAGACGGATGCACGGTACACGCAAATGTTTGTGGCGATGGAGATGTCGCGTCTGATCCACAGGCATTTTCTGAGGCCTGAGAAAACCCAGCGAGCGGCGGCGATTCGGGGGACTCTAATTGAGGGCTAGTTGTTGTCTCGACACCAGAAGGATCTCCAAATCACAAGTCTGGGAAGACTGAATGAATTCAGACAACTTTACTGCTCAAGAAGCTTTACAGTAGCTGATGCAAATGCCGCGTACCGAAGCCAGCCGAGTCGGTGTGAAAGGTGTCTATGCGCGCGGGTTTAGCCAAACATGTCCAGTCCTCAGCCAATCAGGTAGGGATCCAGGTGTTGGAATCAGAGCTCGCGGGGAATCGATTAGCTTCAGGTGATGGCGCGTCGACAGCTGGGGGTGCAAAATTTCAAGAGCGCGCAGAGGTAAGAGGATGAGTCAGCACTATACGCGGGCGGCTAGACAAAGGTTTGGAGGATGAGAAGGAAGTGAATACGCGCA